CAGACACCTCTACTGTGGGCTCCTGATTTGGATGCCACTGACACAGAAGCTGACCACTCCCATTATGGTTATGTTCTGGTCAAATTCTGCCATTTTATCCTATGCTAATGTTTGCCTTCTCTTGCATACAGACCCTGAGTATGACTTCTCATTGGGGATCACGGCACTAAAAAAAATTGCAAAGCCTAAGATTATAAGAGCTGCTGGATAGGTCAGGGGTTTAAGTATCTAGCTGCAAAGCCAGACATAGTGAGTTCAGTTCCCCGCTGTGACTTCTTGAGAGGGGCTGGACTCTATGATCCACAAGTTCCCTTCAAACTCTGTACAGTCGTGCCCCGCTGGATGATTACCCCATTTAACAACAAATCCACTTAACGTTGAAGTTTTTGCGATCGCAAAAGCGATCGCAAAATGATGTTTAGACTGGTTTTTTTGCTTCATGTTGATCGGTTCCCTAGATTGGGTTTTCTGCTTCACGTTGATCGGTTCCCTGTTTTGGGAACTGATTTTTCGCTTCACGACGATCAGCAAACAGCTGACCACCGGGTTTCAAAATGCCCCCCGCTGATTTCTAGGACGGATTCCTTGCTATACAGGCACCAAAAAACTGATTTCTAGGATAGATTTCTTGCTATACAGGCACCGAAAATGGCCACCATATGGAGGATCTTCACTGGCCGAGCAGGTATTCAGCCCATTGGAACACATTGAACAGTTTTTAATGTGTTTCAATGAGTTTTTAAATTTCGTTTGACGACGTTTTCGCTCTACAGCGATTTAGCTGGAACAAATTAATGTCGTCAAGCAAGGCACCACTGTAGTTCTAAGCGTATTGATGAATCAGTGCTCATATCTATGCAACTATAATGCACACTGACCCTTGTAATAACTCTTTCTGTCTCAGGTAGTGCTACCTTTGTGCTCTATGTTTTTTCTTCTAGAAACGTATTTTTGATAAGTAGAGAGAAAATGCAAAGAGTTCTACTCCCTTGTTTATTCATGTCCAACTTCCAATCTTGTATGATCTCATCTATGGATGAAGTTTATCTCAAGGAACCAAGTGAAAATTAATGAAGAAATTCATACTTGTTCTTGAATCTATAAATATGTATACAGTAATTCTTCTTCTTCTTCTTTTTTTTGTATTCTAGTTGGGCTTTCTACAAAGGATAGAAGGATCATGAATTTCTGTCCTAAGGCATAGCACCAACAGCTGTGCAGCCCTTGAAGCTGAAGACCAACCCTGTCCCATATGCTACCAAGTAGCCTGTCTTCTTTCCTCATTTGACAGTGCATATTGTTAGCTTAGGTGACCTCCTCACAGTCCTGGAGTCAGCATGGTCTGACAGCAAACAATGCATTGCCTGGAAAGACTCCGTATCAAGTGTGTCTTGTTTACTTCACGCTGTTAACCCATTCTAATGTCAAATCCCAGCAAGCACCAGGGGCATCTTCCTTTTCCAACAGGAAATCAGGCCAGAGCTTAGCCTGTCCAAAGTCATGAAGCCTTCCAGCCCAGCTTTTTCCAAGATAAGTACAATTTAGGTATCTGTCTGGCAGGTGAAACTCTAAAATGGAGAATACTGGAATTTGGAGGCCAAAACAATGATAAATGAACATGCCAATTAATGTCTCCAATGGTTTGACAGCACAAAGAAAGGTGTGCTATATTTCTCAGAATTTATGCAAGCAAAGTAACAGAATATTTTTCAACAAAAGTGCTCAGATAAATCATATCATATTCATAGCCTTTTCTAGACATATTGAAACAGCTCTTCTGTTCAAACTATCCTCTC